TTTTAATAACCGATACATAAATAAATACTTAACTGATTAATTTTAATAACCGATACATAAATAAATACTTAACTGATTAATTTTAATAACCGATAACATTAATTACCCGATAGAAATATTAACGCGTAAATTTCCTCACACATAACGTAGATTTTCAATTTCAATCGTCATCACTAGAAATTATTAATCCGATTAATTGAATAATTAAGCCGATTAAAACCGAGGCGATATGAAAAATAAAAACCCAAAACTAAATAAATAATTGGAAACATTCGAATTCTCGAAGCGAAAACCCACGAAGAGCTGTCCGATCTATTCCAAACAGTAATCACCCTATCCTCTCCATTCATTGACCACATCTTTTCCCCTGATAACAATCTACTGAAACAATAATTGATAACAAATGGAAAAACTCTCCGTGAGACCCAACGTACCATCCACACGATCTAGATCCGCACAATCCCCATCATTATCGTCAGCTGTGTCATCTAAAGGTTGACCTTGAGGATTGCTTTCCGATTCCAATTCCTGTTGTACCTGTTCCACGAGTGGTAGATCGTCAGTAGATGGTTGATCCCCTGGAGATGATCCCCCAACATTCAATTGTATTTCGCTATTCCGGGATGTCTCAGTCATTTGAGCTCTCAGGGTCTTCAGTCTAGCTCTGTACTCTCGACACCGCTCTTTGTTGTCCTTCCATTGTCTCAAGGACCTCCTAGGGCCTTCCTCATTCATCCGGGGCACGACTGCTGCCTGATGGTTCTCCAGACCCTCTGCAACCACCAATTCTCTGTCTTCCAATTTCTCTTCTCGTTTTGTCACTCCCTGGAAAGCTTTCAGGGCTTTCACCCTTTCCCTGTACTCTTTACACCTCTGCTTATTAGTCTTGGGTGGAGCTTTCGGTGGCCTCTCCAGCTTCCGCCTTTCACGATAAGCTCGTGATCGTTCTGATCCGGTTTTCATGATTTTAAATCAAATGAAATTTGAAAATCCAATCTTTTTGGCATGTGATTGTCATCCGATTTCCTCAGGATGTCTCAGCATGTCGATTACTCAGGGACCAGGGCTCCTTGTCAAGGTCACAAGGTCATTCTAATTGCTTTATCAGTTTATCCAATTATCAATGCAGAAGGTATTTATTGCGATGGGTGAATTCGTGGAGAAGTTGAAGACTAATGACACAACATGAAAATTCGTCACACGATCGCTTCACTTGAGGTTGGGTTGCAGTGTCGGTATAGATCGGGACGAGAATACTATCCCAGTATATATATATGTATATATATATATATAGGTATGTAGTAGCGGGTGTGAGTAAATCCAACACGCAATCGTATTCGAGCGATTCGAATTCGCGTCACATGTCGGACAGAAAATTGAGGGACAACTTACCGATAAATTTTTGATAATCATTCGATTTTGGCGGTCATTTCTGATAGCAAAACTTCAAGTCCTGGTGCCAATAATTAGTTATTATTATTAATTAACTGTAGAATATGTATTCCGACATGTAATTTGGGTTTATGTACGTTTTTGTAGCCAATTATTTCGGAAATAAACGGAAAATTCTTGATTGATTAACGAATTATTGATTTGAATGAATAATTTATCTATAAATAATTAGTACTCACTGTGAATATTCAAAATCGCTGACAACTCGATCCACATTCGATTGGTGACATCTCGATTATGATACAACACATGTTTCTGGTCCCAAAGTGCCGGTCGCTTCTGCATTTCGGTTATGAAACGTTTAACATCGAGACTCTGTTGCCACTCCTTCATCATCGGAATTACGATTAAATTATAAACAAATGATTGACAGTGCAAAATAATTTCCAACTCGTATCCATGGAGATAACCGAAATTAATCGTTAGTCCAATTCGCCCACGCGTCCGCTAGCGCTAGTGATGGCGAATTTTCCCTCAATTTTTCACTTTTCTCATCCAAAATTCACGAATTACTGACGGATTTTTATTTATGAGGAAAATCCGATGATTTATTATCCCAATGTTCCACTTTTTCGTCAATTTTTCGATTATTTCAGACACTTTTTTCAATTTTGTCGCTCAATCTCGCATCGCACGCACTATTTACTTTGTGCTACTGCGCATCGCCTCGGCGCACATGAGAGAGTGCCGCCAAATAGAAATGATTTATTCGCGTCGATGGAAACATAACCACGTGTTCCAGTTGTTTTTCGGTGTTTTCAAAAGATTTGTGGGCAAAAATTTATGGTTTTTCCGAGGTTCTTTAGTTGTTAATTAGTTTATTTACTCAGGGCACAGGAAATAGCGCGGGAAATGGTGTTGGAGGGGTTTGAACTGATCGCGCAAGGGGCCGAGGCGCGAATTTATCGGGGATCCTATCTGGGGAGGGACACACTTGTCAAGGAGAGGTTTAAGAAAACTTACAGACATCCGGATCTTGATGAGACCCTCAGCAAGGATCGGGTTAAGAACGAGAGTCGAGCGATTGTGCGAGCGAAAATAGCGGGTGAGATGTTTTTGGTTTGGAAATTTAAAAAAGTCGATTTCGCCCATACGTAGGTTTTTGGGAGATATCTTTGGATCTGAGAGAGATAGCGGAATAGTACTCCAGACCTTTTCTGTGGTTTTCCTTCCGCTCTACAAAAAAGGTCCCTAAGAGAATATCTCTATCTCTCATAGAATCCGAGTTATAACGCGAAAACTACTGAATTCATTTGACTTTTCGATAAATCAGTCTCAATCAATAATAATCATGATCTCTTCAGGAGTTTCCACGCCGACGATCTTCTATGTGGACCTAGAAGAGCGTTCTATTTATATGGAATATATAAACGACGCGATTGCTTTGAAATTCTACATAAATTCAAAGATTGGAGGGAAAACTGATGATAAAAACTGGATGAAAGGACTCGGCGAGTCTCTGGGAATATTGATAGCTAAACTCCATTCAAAGCATCTCATCCACGGTGACCTGACCACATCCAACATTCTCATAAAAAACGAATTGATTGATGAAGAAAAAACCCGTAATGATGCTTTCATTTTTATCGATTTTGGTCTCGCTAGAATCGATTCAACCGCCGAAGATAAAGCTGTGGATTTATACGTTCTTGAACGCTCGTTATTGAGTTCTCACTCACAAGTACCTGAATTATTCTCCATAATTATGAATAATTACCAGGAACACGTGGATGATAAACAGAGAAGGGAAATTGTCACGAAATACGAAGAAGTGAGGGCTCGAGGGAGAAAGAGACTTATGATCGGATGAACTTATTTGTATTATTTCATTAATAAAGTCATGCGTATTATTTTGTTCGAAACGCGTTTAATTCTCAATTATCGGGGATAATGGGAATTATTGGATAACAACATGGAGACCGTGAGCGAGGATTCGAAATACATATTTACATTATTGGGAATGAAAATGAATCCACGGGCTCGAGTGTCGCCATATTACGAGGAATTCATGAGTAGGAAATTTATTCCTGTCACTCTGTGTCATTCGAAGTGTAATCCAGAGTATATTATTATCCAAGTTACCTGAAATCAAACAAAGTTTCAATAATTTCATTCATCCCTCATAAATCAACGGAATTCATGAGTTCATAAATTAATTCTGAGAATAAACAATCTCGTTTAAAATAAAGAACTCATTTCCATTCGTCTCTTTTCTCTCTATTTGCTCGATAAAAAATCTGGACAATTGTATTCACCAGAAATCCAGCGAAAGACGTCATAAATCCCTCTTTCGTCAACTCCCAGATCCCTCCGAACTCCTCCTCATCAATTTGTTGGAAATTACTAATGTACAAATACGTGATTCCAGCATTGACAACAACAAATCTGTAAAAAAACATATGTTAAAACATAATCAGTAATTAATTGGCAGGCGAATACTGACAGCAACAATGCGACAAATCCTTTGAGGGGAATAATCCCCCAGGCAATTCCAATGATCAGTCCTATGACCTGTCGACTCCAGTAGATGACGTCGAGAAATTCCTCCTAAAAATCGTCATTCACATTCATTAATTCATTATTCGTAAGAATTTATTTATTAAATGAGAATAATCATGGGGTTATGTTTACCTTGTCAGGCCATTCTGAATTGGCAGTTATTGCTCGAGTCCATATACTCAGCTCTGATTTTGTACCATTGGCCAGTTTATCACTTCTGGATGGAGACATGACTTATTATTTATTCCTTATGTTATTATTTTTTAAGTAAAAATTATGTTGACCTGCTAATGTGCTGTCTATTACTCAACTCGAGATAACCTCAGAAAATTTTATTTACCGACTGCGACTACATGGCGGGATTTAATTAAAAAATTTAAATAAAAAAAAAAAATTAAAAATTCAATGGTGGAATTAAGGAAAAAAATGGTTAAGCAAACCCTCAAAAAAAAAAAAAATCAAAAAAAAAAAAAAACGCAAAAACCGGGGAACCAATCCAAGGTTTTTTCGGAGCAATTGAAATTAATATTTCAAAAAGGTAAATGACAGTGGATTGCTACAGGATTCAATCCCTCAATAAATAATTAGTTAAATCAATTGTTTAATAATCTTATGAGTGACTAAGATAGTCTATTATCGAATCATTGAAATATTTTCGTATTGTGATATTTTTCATGATCTACCATCCGACTAAAACAAACTAGAATAAGCGTATTCCCTTCGAAACCGGTTTTTAAGAGATATTTGGAAATTGAAGGGAGATATCGATATTTTGGATTCTTCATTCTTTATAGAGAAAATCATGCGCTACAAAAAAGGTCATTACGAAAATATCAATATTTTGGGTCAATCCCGAGATATTCGGGGAGAAAGTCCTCGAAGAAATGTGAACTCATCCTAATGGACAATTTCGCTGTTTAAATAAATAAATGTGTGGAAAGGAATAAATTAAAATAAATTGATAGCTGAAAAGGATTGGAAAACGCACAGGTGTAGTGATATACCAGTAGATACTATTCAATCGACTTCTCAACCTCGATTTATTTCGAAATATGTGTCCTCCATCAATCCATAAAAAAACCTACACTTCACAGTACATTATTCATAAACAATATGATTCATGACCTATGATTTAAAATATAATACAAATACATAAAATCCACGGTTTCACTCACACAATTCCAGACGTCTGAGCAATATTTATCACATACCGGTAGATCCATTCACACCGAATGCTCAGACTCTCGACACAATTCTTTCTTCAGTTCTCGCAACAACTGCAAATGCGTACTAAAACGATAATCTTAATTCTATCCATATGATGTCATTTCCCCCCAAAATTTGCATTCACCAGATAATTAAATCAATCGTCCACAAATTCCAGTAACTAGACAATAAATACAAATGATTCTGGACATTAAAAATAACTCGACAAAATATGAAACATGGAAATTAATTAATCGGACTCTATCACTTCCCCGCGGATGGAATAATCTCCTGGAAGAGTTACCACTCGAATAGACACACCAATAAGAATGGAACAAATAAATATAACACAAAAATCCTCCAAGAACTCTCTTCACCCGCAGGTCTGAACACTGGAATTGCTCTCAATATTATTATTCCTTCCAAAACCCCTAGTGCCATCAGGTCCGGATGGCATTCTGGTGACATTCTCCGGGAGATGCGCCATGAGGACGAATCCACTGTTGCTTCGTGATCTAAAACCCCCACAGGACTCTGAAGATGAGGAACAAGAGGAGAGCCTCCTGGTGGCCTCATACCCAGAGTCTCTGCTGCAGTTGGAGAGCCTCCGGAGGAATGGGCCGCAGTCGGCGGAGCCTCGTCTTGTCGTCTGGTAGAATCCATTTCCATAATTAAATGGAGGAGATTGTCCACAGCAGGAGTATCTCCTGGACTGGTTTGGCCAGTAGTTCATCGGTGGGTAGAGATTGTTCTGGTGATGATTGTGGAGGATCGGTGAGGTGTAGCCTGTCTCCGATCCTGAGGAACAAGTGGAGAACCTGCGGGAGTAGTTCGTGTAGTTTGTGGTGTCTGAACTGGAGCCTGACAATCTTCGCATGAGGAGACCGTTGTCCAGCTGATCTGTCGCTCCTATTACACAGGCGGAAAATCGACGTGGAAGCCAGACTTCCGGGGATGGCGGACCTGGAGAAATACATTTTTTTATTATTCAATCAATTATAATTCTAGTTAATTCTAATTATTAATTACTCCAGCGCATTTTTCGTACTTTAATTGATTAATTAATTTTAATCCAATGAATATTTTGGAAGGCTTTTCAGTTTAATGAGGGTTGAATGTTCAGGTCTTCACGTGGGAATGATAATATGCCAGTTTTATAATTTTTCCTTCACTTTTCACCCTCAAATACGATTAAATACTTAAATCTCTGGAGAATTCTGTTAGGACGTAACTGTTGGAGAAAATCGAAAACCTCGGCGTTGGTAAGGATTCCCTGAATATCTGTGTCACCTAATTCCTTCGTGGCGCACTCCACCGATGATTTCGTAAGACGAGAGTTGAATAATCGACTTAATTTTTCGATTATTCAAGCGGAGTCGCCCGAATATCGTGAAATTTTGAGCGCAGAAAGCATTCTAGCGTTTTTTTCATCAGAACCTTTTTTGTAGAGCTAATTAAAAGCTACAAAAAAGGTTCTTACAGTCATTCCCGATTTCCCTCCATTTCTGAGATATCTCCAAAAAACTCACCGAAAAACCTACAAAATCTCTGGACCTCCATCAACGAAAATATTTCAAAAATAAAAAGAAATATCGAGTTTTCAGAAAAGACCTTTTCCGTAGCTCTGAATGAGCTCTACAAAAAAGGTCCCAAGAGGAATCTCACTATCTCTATTATTTTCCGAGATATTACTAAAAAACCTCAGAACCTACAAAATCACTGCAATTTTTCGTAATAATTACCTTGATACGGTATAGGCTGCGGTCCACTCGTAGGATAATTAACCTTGACCCCATCGAGCTTCTTCCCGACCCTGGCAATCCTGCAGCTCCTGATCTCCTCATCAGACCCACTGGGACAGCTTGACGAGTTGTACCCATTTTGCCTCACATTAATTCTGCTCCCAGCGCTCTTTTTCGCCCCAACACCCAGTCCCTCCTTCGTCTGCTGCTGCTTCCGTTTCTTATCACTCACGGCTATTTGCTGCATCTCAAACATCTTGGCATCCCCGAGGGAAAGGGCCAGGGCAGCCCTAGCCGATGCTGAATCCGTAAATTCAATCAACGCGCATTCCTCATCACTTCCCAATTCCGATTTTTTAGCAATCGCTTGACGAATCTGCGAACAAACAATTCAATCATTTCAATTGATACTCTATTTTAATTAATACACCAGTCGATTCATCAATTATTCATCAATTATTTATTTATCATTTATTTATCGACAAATTAAATCGTTAATTCAACTGATTATTCGATTTTTTAATCTTTCTAATTAATAAATGCCAATAAATACCAATAAATACCAATAAATACCAATAAATACCAATGAATACCAATAAATCAATTGATAAAGACAAATCTCGAAATAACTGAATAAATAATTTGTTTATACCTCAGCAGGTACAGGATGTCCGGGTTTGAGAATTCTAATAAGTGCAATTTCTCCGCACTGGCCAAATAATTCAGCAACTGATTCAATTGTTATTTTTTCAACGGGCAATCGTGCAGCAATAACAGTCCTCGATGGTAACGTCTGATCAAACTGAGGAAGTGGCTCGAGCCTTCTCAATTTCGTCCCCAGTTCATTGACTTGTAATTTTTTTGATTTAGCCTTGAGCGATGCACCCACCACACGCCAATCCCTGCTGAGATGCTTGACCCTTTTAAAACTGGATATGAGTTTCAACGAGACATATCCCTCTTTATTCCTCTTTACGTGTTTCAGGAGAAACGCATCCTTCACGATATTCTCGTTTGAGAAATAAAATTCCACCTGGGAGGCTATTTTCTCAGCTAGATCATCACTCACAGTTATGATCTCTTCGTTGTGGGTGTCATTAGGGACCTCTGGCCTCTCATCAATAGATTCTCCGTTGTTTAAATTATTAACTCTATTATCACACTTGTTCTGAGAGTCTGACAGCCTCTCGTTGTCGTCTGTTCCACTGTTGCAATCCGAGAAATCAGCGTCCTCACCCTTGGATCCACGACGATCGAATGACAGACTGAGATCGCTGTCAACCGATGAAATACTGTCACGAGTGTCCGATTTCTTCATTGGTGCTGGTAAGATCGAGAGACTACCCACGGCATCCAGGGACTCTTCATGCATCTCCAGGTGATCATCCATTTTTTTTTAATGTCTATTTTCAAACTTCTAGGTGTCAAGGTAATCGCTTCACTTCACTTCTCACCCGAAATTCGATTCAATTACCGATTGATCGATGCATCATTGGTTATTAATCGATTAATCGAACTTGTTGCCGTGAAACTGATGGAGATGATGGAGATGATGGAGATGATGGAGATGATGGAGCGGATGGAGCGGATGGAGCGGATGGAGATGATGGAGCGGATGGAGATGATGGAGATGATGGAGATGATGGAGCAGATGGAGAAGATGGAGCGGATGGAGCTGATGAAAATAATAGATAAGTTGATAAATAAATAAATGAAAAATATGTGAATCGCTGGTGGTAGAGGCAGGTTGAGTGGTCGAGATGACAGTGGCCTTTGAATTTGAATTACCTCAGAGGTCTTTAAGTACTTTCCCCGGGTGTTGTGCGCGTGCGCCTCCACTACGGGCAATATTTCCTCCACCACCATTTGACTCCATCTCTTCATAATCGTTTGGTGGATAATATTAAATGGAGTTGGCAGTGGTTACGTGAGTGTATTAGACTGATTTAACTTCCTTAGGTGGGGAAATACTCATTGCTGGTGTTCTCAGCAGGGTCAAACAGCAGGACCTCGCTGGAGGTTTCGACCTTCCAGAATGCCGGTCAAGAGTCACTCCATCCTCGTACCACTGACTTCGCCCAATGTTACTTTATTTATAGGTACTTCACAGGCTTGTTTTATTTATTTATTTTAGTTTGTCGCTGATTTATTAATGCGCGGGACAATATTTCTTCGGGAATTTTTAATGTCGTGCTCGTATTTTGGGATCTGCTATTTTTTTTTGTTGGGGAGAACTTGCGAACTGGAAATTTATGGATAATGGGAAGACTCTATTGTTTAGTATAAAGGAAATTTTATTGAATCTTATCAGTTTTGATTTTTGGGATTTTTTGGGATTTTTTGGGATTTTTTGGGATTTTTTGGGATTTTTTGGGATTTTTTGGGATTTTTTGGGATTTTTTGGGATTGAGTAATTTAAGTTATTAACTGAAAATTATCTCAATGATTTATTTATTTATTCAATTATTTATGAAGGCATCAGTCTGAAATTTAATAGAATAGACTCGGTAGTTTATTATAAATAAAATTTTATTGAATTGTTTCATAATTTTTGCCGTTTTGGGATTGTTTTATAATTAAAATTACAATAACTTTTGAATAAGTAATTTAATTAATTGAATGAATACTCCGAATTTTGGATTTGATGAACGCAATTAAATTCGTTATGCAGTTTATTAGATTAAAAATCAGATTAAAAGTTCAGATTAAAAATTAAAAAATCAATTGTTGTTGGATTGCTCGAGGCGTAATTACAGGATTCATAGCTCGAAGTAATCGTCTCAATGGGCTCTTGTCTGGGATTTAATATGACGAAATTCGCACTTGGATCTTCTCAAGTTATCCTTGAACATGAGTATCTTCACGAGAGAAAGCAGAACTCAATGGATTATTTTCGATGAGTAATTCAAAACTTCAATTACAATCCAATAAGTTCAAAATCAGCATTCGCAACAGCTTTATTCCACGCTAAATAATTTATCCGGTCAATCTTTTCTCGTCCCAAACATTCGGAAATTAATGAAAAATCCAGTCCAGTCTTCGTGGAATATCTCCGAATCTAACAGAGATATCGAAATTTTTGTTAAAAGCTTTTTTGTAGAGTAGAATGAGACCCACAAAAAAGGTCATTACGAATATCTCTGTATCTCTATTGGATTCCGAGATATTGTTCGTAAACTCATTACATAAATCGTGTACCAAATTTTTATCTCAGTGGAATAAATTCTTTTATTTTAAATAAAAAAATGAAATTTCCTTCAGTTATGGAAATAATAAGATAAAAAATAAATGTAACCACCACTCGTTAAGGCGCGAGTGATCGAAGGATTATAATCTCCCACAATTACAGTCTGGAATTTATTTAGCTAGAGGAGAATTAATGAATAGAAAGATAATGAGATTTTATTGGTTTTGAATTAGTTATTGATCAGAATGTTATACATTATTTATCTATTTATTTGCTACGAAATCCATCGATGAGTGAATGTTTTGATAGACTATTCGGCCTTCGCATGATCGTTTATTAAAATGGAGGAGCTATTTTTGTTTTTATTTTTTTTAATTGAAGTGTTTATTGCCTCTGATGTATTGTTACTGACTCCATTAATTGAGGGGATTTATCTCGGGAATGGGTGAGTTGAAACATCAGAAGATTTATGTCGCGGTTATTATTTTTTTATTGCAAACATTTTGTATTAATTGTATTCTCCCAGAATTCGAATGATAAAATTGTTGTCAAATTTCAGAGTCAATCTTGAAGTGAATATCTCTGAAACTAAGGGAGATAGCGCAATTATTGTAATGACCTTTTTTATAGTCCGTAATTAGCCCGATAAAAAAGGTACTAATGAAAATTTTTATATCTCTCTTATTTTCGGGGATATTACCGAAAAATTGGACAGCTGCTGCGATTTCGAGGTTTTTACGAATGGAGTGTAAAATATCATTTTGTTTTTTAATAAAAATGATTAAAAATGGGGAGAAAAATTCAGTGAGACGGTTGGTAAATGAATTGTACGTGTTTTCGATGACTCTTTCATGAAAATTACATGAAACTCGGGGAAACACTTGATGAAGTTTGACGTCAAACAGAATAAATGAAATAGAATAGTTGGAGTATCGAGAAAAATATGAAATCGTAAAAACACAAAAATTTCCTAGAAATCTCCAGGATATGTTTTCTCATATGAGAAAAAGAAGGATGTGCAAATGTACGAAGGCCAACTGGATTGGATAATACACGGACTATTGATAAATAAAGAATGAAAACTGCGGGAGTACGATAAATATATTACATCGCGGAAGAATATTTTCGTAATAAATAGTTTCTTCATGTAGACAACTGCAATTTAATAATTCCACACGGGGCACAACAAAGTGAGTGATTCTGCATTGAAATCAATCCTGAGAACAAATTTTTGATTTTCACTTCAATGAGTTTTTTGAAATATCACCGAAACTACCGGCCATACAAAAATTTTCGTTACTACCTTTTTTCCAGATCTAACTAAGAGCTTTAAAAAAGGTAATATCGAAAATTTTGATATCTGCCCTAGTTTTGGAGTTTTAGTGAAAAAATGGAGGGATCAGCGAGCAGATTTTAGTTGTTCGGTAATGCAATCGGTTTTACTATTTTTGTAATGAATGGAGTTGTGACAAATTATTTATGGGGGTGATTGGGGGTGATTGAGGGCGATTGGGGGAGGGGTAATATATTACATTGAGACTGATAACCTCCAAAAGATAAACGCGTTTCGAGCCGCATCCGGACGCTGCGAGCATAATAAGATATGGGTCAAGTGCGGCTAGTGTCGCGTAAGGAGCCTTTTATTGCCTTCGGGGCATTGAAAGGACGTGTACAACACGTTTGTTCCTTCTCACCACCATGTGGGTAATGAGGAGAAAAAATCTATTTCGAAAATTCGAGAACGCACCGCTAAATCCACGCCGATCCATCGAAAAAATCCCCATCGACCCTGACAAGTCGCTCGTGCCAATTATCCATGAAAATCTCGGAAACTAAAAGAGATATCGAAATTTTCGTATAAACCTTTTCTGTAGAAATCGTTGAGAGCCACAAAAAAGGTTTTGATAAAAATTTCGCTATCTCCTGTAGATTCCGAGATTTTTGCCGATAACTGGTGATTAGTGAAAATTGAGTTATCGTGAACGGTTCTCAAGGGAAATGTCAGTTTTACCGAAATCTAAGGGGGATAGCGCTATTTTTATTGGGACCTTTTTTGAAGCTGTTTATTGGCTCTCCAAAAAAGGTTATAACAAAAATTTCGCTATCTGTCTTAGATTTCGAGATTTTCATCAAAATCAGAGATAGTCTGAGATATTTCATATTTGTTTGCGATTTTTCCTGTAAATATTTCGAAATTCCATTGCAATTACGCAAATATAATCTGATGAGCAATTAGACCGTTCCTGCTCATAACTTTTGCAATAAAAAACCACCGATTTCCCCAATAAAAAAAAACAACTAGGCTCGTCTTAATGATAAAAATAAAGGTGATATCTCCTAATCGGGGATTGGAGAATAAGGAAACTATAAATCACAATTAGTTTATTCATCGTGTTTATACTCTATTGACAAACATATTATGCCAATCCACGTGGTGATGAGATGAAAGAGCACGTTACAAATCATCCGTCTTACTGATCGAATATTACTCGACAATAATCAAATTAACACGTTTACGTAAAGTTATTGAAGTCACCAGAGCACTCACACATGACAATAACAGTTGTATGATTTCCCTCCGGCTATTACGTGAGTGTCTAATAGATTTTATGAGATTTTATTGTGGCGAGATGATAAAATCCCCCCGTGATATTTCGATGACACCTTAAATTCACAATTGTCTTTTTCTGTTACTCGATAATTGAAGATGTGTCATGCACTTGTTTACGATGAGTTTTTCTCCCACTGTTTTTATTATTCGATGGGAATTCATGAATGTTATTACGTGATTTTGTATTGTCAAGGCTACGAGGTAAAATAACAATTGAAGTTATCAATTTTTCCAGCAATTGATTTTCTTTTGAGAATCAAATTTTACTCACTCGGGATTATCTCGGGAATTAATCACTCTACGAGGAAATGTTATCATACATTTTTTGTAGCTGACGAAATTCTCCAGAGGAAACGTATTTAACATTTTTTTCTAGCTCCAACCGTTGTCCAGATATTTGTCAGTTGAAACCGGGGAAATTGTAGGGTGGAGAAAAATTCAGCTCTTCTGCAAATGAAGAAGAATAAAAATTCAGATCGAGATAATGCAATTAGCGGCCAACAGTCTGACGATAATGTGAGAGCCATTCGTCAGTGGGTCTTCCCTTCACGACATGTGGAATAAATCTCTTCGACGAAAAAAAAAACTTTCCGGATAAAAAATTGCATCAGAAACTTTTCCCGATGTTTCACAACTTCCGACTCTGATCATTTAATTTCCATTTATTAATTATAATTAATATTATTTATATAATATAATATGTGTATTCATATCATCTTCATATTTTCTTTTACTCAAATAAGTTATAGAATTATAGAATAATTTTTTCTCCAGTGAAACGTGAAGATGAAACTTTATGGATTGGAGGCACAGTATGAGCGAAAATCGTGATCAGTGGCAAAACCGAAGGACAAACATCCGACAAACATTAGCAACACGTCAATAAATATGTGATGAATGCACAGGGGAACATACGAGATTCTTACACTCGGTGATTTTGCCCTGGGGCTGTTGGAGCCGTTGGTAGTTTGCGAGACAGGAATCGTATACCATGGGGGCCGGAAACTGGGTCAGGGTAGCTTGCCAAATATGTGGATCATTTTTATCCCGATTTATCACCTGAAATCAAAAAATCACTGCGAAAACACGCGGAATCGGTGGACCTGATACGCCGATGAGAATTATTTTTTTCTTTCTCTTTTTTGATTTTTCGTCTCTCATAGTTACGCGGTACATTATGCGTCAAAATATTTATTTAATCGATAATTATTGTTTTACTTTTGGAATTATTAAACAAGTAATTCTTTTAATTCAGGGAATTTTATCTAATTATTCGGTTGTATAAACATCGGACGGTCGGTCGAAACTTTGCGCCTGCAATTGTCAACGAAAAAGTTATAGAAATTTATTGTAAATAATTTGAAAAATTTGTTCATTCGATAAAAACGGGATGAAATAAACAGAAAGTTATTCGAAAGAGGCTAATAATTGAAATAATTGTTTAAAAATACGAGGTGAGCGAAAAAAGTAGGCGCCGCCATCTTTCCCGCGTACCTCTCCCTTCCAAGATGGCGACGCTCCCACCTCGTGTTTTCAAATAATTATTAAAACTATTAATCCTCATAAAATGACACGCACGTCATCTCATCCCGTTCCTGGGAATTGAACAATTATTTAAGAAAATTTTGGAGGTATTTCCATCGTTTTCTCACTGAAAAATCCTTAAACAAAGTTCTCGCAATATTTTGATAGCTTTTCTTCAACCCAGACCTCTTGATATTTTCTCGTTTCATTCATAATAAATTGTGATGGTGAATACATCCGAGAGTATTACTCTCTTGAATTTAAAATGACGGATTATGATCTGATATTCTAGTCTCAGGTATTTAGACGCTGACAAAAACCACTTGGGAATACTTGATGATCGTGTATTTGTTAGATAGAATAATACACGAGTGCGAGGCCCCGGGGTGATTCGCCACGATGACCATGACCATATTACGAGAAAGAGGCAATAGACAATGACTTTCATCCATCCAAATGACATATCCGCACAGAGTTTAATGCTTTCGATGACTCACACAAAAACACATACAATTCATTGCATTGTCCCGAAAGTGGGCTTCATTAGAGTCAATGGTTTTTGTGAAATCATCGGAATGATTAATTAACCAATGATTACTCAGACAAAAAAAAATCATTACGATTTCTATTCCACATTTTCTACCTGATTTCGTTGAAATTTCAATTGGAAAATTCAAATTCCCGATGGAAATTCCCTAGAATCATTTACAAATCGTTACTTTTTTTGCCGATTTTTTTTCAAACGTGAATCATCAAAAATAAAATGGTGTCGAGATGCGAAAAAACTCTTGTTTATAGCATTTGAAATAGCCGCAAAAACTTTTTTAACAACAAAAAAAAAGACATCCTTTGTATTTCTCTAAAAATTTTAAAAAATTGAAAGAAAAAAAATTGAAAAATTGGGATATGTGGGGAAGACTTATTAGGATTAAATGCACGCATTTATTGAGTTGGAAATATGGAAATGAATTCTTCACACGAGACAGGAGTACTAATCCGAGAATAATAATAAAAAATAACGCACCTATTAAACAAACTAAAGTACTCATAGCCCGAGGCATTTTCCGTACATGTGAGTGTCGGTGCGAGACAAACTTGAAATCCCTTGACCCAGTAAACAATATATCGTGTACATACCAGCAATGTCCTTCGATTCGAACCCGGAGACGTCTTTGAATTATCTTCTTTTTTCCCCTGATTTTTGACTCTCGTTTATCTGCCCCTCAGCTCTGCCCATTTTTACAGACAATTTCGTCGTCCTTGGCTCATTTTCTTTTTTCACTAAAACTTCTCCCCATTTATTTCCATTTTTATTCACTCCTGACACTTTTATCATCCAAAATATATTTGTTGTAATTAGGTCCCGCGTTTTATTGCTTTAGTATATTTAGACGTCTGGCTTGTGTTTTATTACTCAGGGGTGAGAATCGTAACAATTAACCGATTATATTTGTACTCGACCTCAATTTTTTTTTTTACATCGTCTTTGTAGAGCTGTTTTAATGACTAAAAATGAGAGTACGGAACAGCAGTCATTTAATGATAGATATTTTGAGTAATCACGAGCTCAAGGATTTATCTTCCTGGTTTCAGTTGGACTTGTTTGTCGTGTCTCTCATTATCTCTCGATGCTAATTTGGTGGAGGATTGGTGGGAATATTGCTACTGCATTTCAAGAAATATTGGAATTCACTCGCAGACGAGTTTCTGGCTAAATTTATTATAGCTATTAATTTATTATTCCCTCATCCTCGATTTCTTTAATTAGTTAATATGATTTTCAGTCATTCTTCACGATTCTTTACTCCTCCACGATTTTCTATTTTGTTTTTCAACAATAGATATATAAGAATCGGAATTCAATTTTTTTTTAAATAAAACATATATATAAATAATAATAATAAAATATAATAATATATATTTGTATATATTATTATATATTATTATTTATATATATGGATATATATATATGTATATATTGAAGGAACTGGCTTCAAAAAACGTTACATGGAATTTTTTTTAAAGGGAAATTCAAATTTCGAATCGATAAAATGACTTTTTGGAAATATCTCCCAAATCAAAGGAGATATGAAAATTTTTAATAGAACCTTTTTTATAGCTCTCAATTAACTCTGTAAAAAAGGTTCTAACGAAAAAATTGTTATGTCCCTTAATCTCCACGAAATTTGGGAAAAACTGACGGAGAAATTCCGTCGTTTTGTCGTTTTCGTGAGTTTCTTTTCCAAATTCATAGAAAATTTAAATATAAACCCAAAAAACGAGTCAATTAAGGATAAAAATCAATAAGGAAAAATATCATTATCAACCGATTGTTCCTCGCTGATAATCAAAAGTAATTCAATTTCCATGCTCCTTTTATTCATTTCAATCAATAATCATTTTATTTTTTTTATTACACTTCTAAGGTCATCTTAATGGGACACTTTATCATTAATATGAAACGCTGGATTATGGCATTAATGAATTAATCGAATGATGACACGTACTAACGTAACAACAAAATGCACACCTCAAATTTACCTAGTGAATGCCTCACATCAATGATTTATTCTCCATTTGTTCTCATAAATTTTTCAATTCATTAGAAATTTATATTAATCCTTTTTTTTTGTCTCTTTAATGCCATCAGTCATCAGTCGTAAACACGTATGAAATACTCGTTGATTTAGACTAATTAACATTACACATTTTTGTTGATGTATAAGAGCTCTTTAATTTCTACTTTTTCATCATCTCCATTTTTGGACACACGTATTCGTTTATTTATTTATCATTACTCATCAACTATTCTATTATATGGTGAATAGCGCTTTTATTTCATAGCATATTTATATTTTTCGTTTATTTATTAATCTCTCAGACGTACACTCACGTAACTTTACATAATACAATATTTTCTTACTTAATTCATATTTAAACACTTCCATAATTATCTTCAAGGAGCTCTATTGTCTAGTTCTTTTTTTTCTCTTGTTTTTAATCAGAAATTAAAAGTCTTTGTTTACGTCAGATATTCGTGATGATTTGTAGAGAGAAGTGGAAAAATGTTATTCAACTCTGGTGAATAATTATTCAAGCAGCTGTCATTTTCAATTGAATTATTTTACAATTGTCTGATCAATTGCTTTCGAATGGATCTCATTTAATCACTTCGGTCCAATTAGCGTCACGAATCTTTGTCATATTTCTTTTTGTTTAATTGTTTAATTGGTTAATGAAAAAAGCTTCAAAAGCATCATCCTCAAGCGCAGAGAAGTGAAAGGTAACAATGGTGAACAATTAACACTTTTTTTTCCGTCTTTAGTCCTTTTTTTTCAATAAAGTTGAGCGAGAATAAAGATTAATAACAATTGTTCGTTAATATTACCTTCGTCTTTAGCTCGGTTCGACTCATCTTAAATCAATCGTACATAATTGACTAGTTAAAGTGTAAGTTTAAACAACAGTAATTGAGTGATGAACGAATAGAGATGTCATGATATATTCGTACTTAATTCTCTAAATAATCTCAGGAGTTTTCTTGGAAACCGTAATTATATACAAAACAATTATATGGTTAAGATAAAGCTGTAGTACGCGATAATATAATGATAATAGACTTGATATCTAATAAACTAATTCGTACAGAAATTAAATAATTATTGATTGGAGAAAGGAAATGTATGCGACTGAGGTCTCCGGGGTTTTGTGAACTTAAAATAAAGTACGAAAGGGACAATCAAGTAACAGGAGGTACTTAAAACATCATTACGTTGGAGGTAATTAATAATTATTGAGTTTGCTTTTGGGAAAAATGCAAACTGATTAGCTGGGAGGAAAAATCACTCGAGCATCAAAAATTGTTGCAGTCGTTATCTCGTATATCTCTGTTAATAAGGGTGTTATGGAAAAAATGGTGGGGAGCTTTTTTGTTGGAAATTTCAAGAGCTACGGAAAGTTTATTTGATATTTTTCTCTGTGACCCCCGGTTTTTGAGATATTCGCGAATATTTTCGGGGAAATTGTGAAAACTACAATTGGTTCAAGTCCGGTGACTTTTCCTCCTCAGACCGAGCATCATCGCTATCATGCAATACCTTTGAACACTATTTGTCTTTGGAACGTACTGAGTACCATGAGAGGAGGTTCTCAGAATAAAATCAAAATTCTACCGAGAGAATTACGTCAAACTGAAGAATGACCCGTTAATCCGTCATTTATCCTAAAAAAAATTAAAAAATGAGACGAAGTGAGATTAATTATTCTCGATAGACTGCTCTGGGAATAGTGGTGCTTATTACGCGCTTAAGATTATTTCTGATATGAATTTATTACGCGTAAATTATTCATCCAACACAACGGTTCACCAGGAAAATGATAAAACTAAAGTGGAAATGAAAAAAATCCTTCTTTAATCGTCAATATTTCGAGTTTGGCAGAGTGGAAATCGAAAAGGTTGAGGCCATTTTAAAGGTATTTTCTCGCTTTTCATGTCACAAAAAATTCAGCAAAATGGAATCATTTGTTCGGTAGATATTGAATATTTAAGACGGATCTTTTATCTTCACCTTGGATTAATTTCATTTCACGATCAGTTGTTAAACTGAAATAGAAATTTATCGTTTTATCACTCCTCCAGTGATTAATATTCATCATAAATTTTTCGTAATCATTCTTAGAATATTCTCCACTTAATTCAATCGTATAATGCTTATATTCTGTGCTTTATAACTTTGTTTACATATTTATAGTTATTGTATTGTTTTCTCATAAATTGTTCATTTATCTCATTGTTTTGGGAAGGCGTTAGCAAGACATTAGAGTAGATTTTCCGTTTATTTCCGTGGCTTTAGAATACAGCATGAATTTTTCTCCTGATGGACGAACAAAACACGTTTTACGTTTTTTCCAATTGTCAATTTAATTTTAATCTATTTTTACCGATTACTAATACTTCCATCATCGTCATCTCAATTGACAAGACAACAACTAAAAGTCAAGAATATTATTCAATTTGCTAACCGAACTATTACAATCAAAACGAGAAAACAATTATTCCAACTTTCAAATCATTAACGAATCATTAAATCAAGTAGATTTCCATTTTCGGAGAGATATCCCAGTTTTTCGTCAATATCTCCGAAACTAAAGAACACAGGACAATTTCTGTGATAACCTTATCTACAGCTTTCGATCAGCCCTACAAAAAAGGTAAGGACAAAAATTCCGCTATCTCCGCTGGTTCCGGAGATATCCCGGAAAAACTGAGCGAAGTGATGAGTCGAGTTATCTCCATTCACCACTTGACTGCTGAATTAATTCAGAATATTACTTATCGTTTGAGAATCGTTAGAACTTATTGCTTGACTTCTCCTCCCTGCTGAGCTTGAGGGCCAGAGCAAGATCAGCCTCTTCCTGCTCCTTAATCCTCTTTCTCTCCTCCTCAGCTCTGAGACTCTGCTGTGCAGCCCACGCCAACTGCTGATTCTCAGTCAAATTCCCTGATATCTTGGCTGCAGCATCCTCATTCCACGTCTTACTATTATTATTACTCTTGCTCTTCTGCAGATTATTGTGACCCAATCCCAATTTATCCTTGAATGCCTGAGCAATACTGACATTATCAGACCTCTTGGTGCGTTCTCTCTTGATCGATGAAAATGCCTCATCAAAATTAATCGGTTTGTTAACAGGTTTTGGTGACGACGAATTGCTGTTATTATTCGACGAGTTGTTCTTATCCAGTGGTAGACTGAATTTGTCGTTCTTCGACTTGACAAATGGCTGGGGAAATGTCTTGGAGAAGTCGGACTCGAAGTCGCGGGTGAAGGGATCTCTCGTTCCCTCGTTTGTCATCTCTAGACCGAACGGATCGAATTTAGTCTCGGTTTTTTTCTCTTTCGATTTTGAATCGTTGGCATTGACATCGTCATCGGCGAATGGATCAGCTATCTCAAAGAGATCCTCGTATCGATAGTTCCTGAAGGGATCCTCCGTGAAGTCTGGCAACTTCTGGGTAGCGGGTGCTGAATTTGCCCCTCGAGTTTGCGCCACTTCCGGCTAAAGCAGGTGTTTTTTGGTTTTTGTTTTTTGAGTGTTGATTTTTCGTTTGTTTTCTTTTTTATTTTTAGTTTTCGATAGATTTTTTTTTGTTATGTGCTTTTGGTTTATTTATTTATTTTCTTTTACTGAAAAGGAGAAGACAGGGGCGGAAACCGCCGGTTATTCGCTTGGATCTTTGGGGATTCCCATTTTTTTGTGGAACTACAACCAAAAAATTAATTTGTGGGTATAAATTTATTAATTTGGGGATCATCTGACATTTGTTCAGACTCGTTTCAACAATTATTCAATTACTTTCAATCGAATATTTTTAATAATTAAATCTCATCTCCCTTTAACTACAATTATTACTCAATTTTCTTTATCCACTGATTAAAAATGTCAAATTTCCCTCATAAAATACTATAAACAATCGATCCCAATGATCACATGCTCTCGATAACAACGAAAATCAACATGAAGATGTGCGAAATAAATAAATAAATAAATAAACGACATAACAAAAAAAAAACTCTATAAACGTGAAAAATACGATTAAACATAAAAAATTATCGCAATAACGGAAATAAATAAAATATCAATAAACAAATAGATGAATTACCTTCGAATCGAAATTAGCGAAATCAGCGAAACCAGTGATTGTAGAGCCAAAGCCAGTGTTTCCATTATTATTATCATTCTGCGCAGCAAATGGATCAGCATTGGTATTGGTAAATGGATCGGGTGTTGGTGATGGTGTTGGTGGAGCTGGTGCTGCTCTGAGATTAGGTCCAGCTGTTGGACGAGGTGGTGCAGGTCTTGGTGGTGGTTGTTTCGCTTTTTTTGGTGGTAGAGCTGGACTGGGACTCTCAGCACGCGTTGGTGCGTGAAGATTGGCGAATGGATCATCACCAAAAGGATCTTTAGTGGGTATTGTCTCACCACCAGTATTATCACTCCTCCTGCCATCGCCAAAGGGATCGTAAGCGTCTTGTTTAGCAGCAAATGGATCACTGGTGAATCCACCAGAGACATTAGTCCTGCCATCAAAATTGGCGAATGGATCAGCCCCAGGAGTACCAAAGGCTTCAGCAGCTTGGGACGAGGCGAATGGATCCTCCTGGCCAAATCCATCACTGCCATTCACACCTGAGAATCCATCCACCTTTCCACCCTCATTTACACCATTGATCTTCGGTGCTATCTCACTCTCGATCTGCTCGACTACGTCAATGTCCGGATGCAGCTGGAGAATTGCATCTGTCACCAGAGTGGGATCTCCAACAGCCAATGCCGAGTCGTACATCGCTATTGCATCGTTCATCTGTCTCTGCTGCTCCTCCAGATGTGTGATCTTCAGCTTAGCCTGGCTTATCTGAAGCTGAGTATTCTGGAGGTTTTTTGTTAATTCGTTTAGCTGATCTCTGCTTCTGTTTTGCTGTTGCTCCAACTGCTGCTCCTCCTGGCGCAAACCCTCCAGCTCCTGTCTCTTTGTGTTCAATTCCTCTTCCTGGGAGCGAAGCACTGACTCCTGCTCTTCTGCTTGCTGACGGAGTTTGTCCACCTTTTGAAAATAAATTATCATTGATTATAGTATTGAAGAATAGGTTCAGAGCGTCTCAGGATTGAAACGTCACAGCGAAATCTCTAGGAGATTTTTTACGAGCAATCCTGACGCCTTGGAAGGACGTAGGGAAGAATTTTAAAGAGGAAAACTAATATAAATCCATTTGGTCCTCAATTTTTTAGGAATATCACAGGTTTTGTAGGAGAATTCATCAGCAAAATGAAACACTAGGATAAGTTCAAATTATTTCCTTTCCGATATGTTTTTCCCAAATATCTTGGAATCGAAGGAGAATATTAATATTTTCATAATAACCTTTTTTCTAGCACTTATCTACCTCTACAAAAAATGTAGAGCCAAAAATATCGCCATCACCCCTCAATAACGAGATATTCGCTAAAAACCTCTCAATCAACAGAATTATTAACAAAAAAATTGTTCTAGCTCTATTTTATTTTTATAAAAAGCTACAGAGGACTAGTCATGAGATTCAGGACTTTATACTACTTTACATTACTTTCCAATCGTTAGTAATTACCAGAGAAATGATGAATATGACAGCTAAAACGTCGATCAATTTATCTCGTACGCAAAAATCGAATCATTCCATAGAAATCTCTCATTCATGAACTTCTAATTTAATAAAAAATGCATGTGCAATTTTATTCTCGAGTGTGTCATAATCTCATGCATCATAAAACAATAAAATTACCTTGCACGTAATTGACTCGTTAATATCGATGCCACAGTCGTGATTCGATATCTGAATTACCGTTGACTTTTATATCGTTTATCTTAAGGGAAAGAAGATAAAAAATAAAAGAAAAAAAAAACATGTGGGAATAATAGTGTACCTTTTCCTGCTCCTCACGCATTTCCTGCTCGACTTGACTCAATTCATTTTCTACATCAGCCCGCTAGAAAGGCCGAATAGTAACAACAAAAAAATCATTGCATAAAATAAACAAAATAAACGAAAAAAAAAACTAAAAGTCATAATAATATCATAACTAACAGCGAAGTGGTAAAACGTGACGTTAAATTGATTTATCTCATGGAAATTTGATTTATTTCCTCAAAATATTCGACATTTAACCACTTCACAGATTAAATAATAAATAATGTTAGAAAATAAATGAGTAATCAATAAACAAAATCGAAATTCAACTGCAGTTCGTTGTTATTGGTTTCTGCATGCATGCATTCTAGGGACATTCTTTTTTTTTATTGTAAACTCTAGCTTTTGATCGGTGGAATTTTAATGCAAAGCTCATTGTTTAATGTGGAATTGTTATAATAATTTCACCTGAGCCTTCAGATCATTCAGTCGTTTCTGGGCCTCGCCCCTCTGATTCTCCAACTGCTTGAGGGTTGCAGCAAGTGTATCCAGTTCACTCTGGAGACTCTTGATCTCACCATTTTTTATTTTAATATCCGCCTCCTTCTGGGCAACATCTTGCTCCATCGCTCTCCGCTCTTTTGCCAATTCAGCGATATCCTTGCTGATCATGTCGAGTTCAGGGTTGGAGTAGCCTGAGATATTATTGTTCTCCTGGAGAAAACAAATGATGATCGAATCATCGAATTAACTGACAGATCATGAAGTTTAATAATGAGAGATTAATTTTAGTTGTTTATTTAGTTTATTTAAGTGGGAATTCTTCTGGGAAGTTGCCGGAGAAATTGAGGAATATCAAGAAGAAGTGGGAGAAGTTCACGAAGGGACAGGGCAAGGGTCACGATATTTTTGCGGACATCAACCCCTTGGAATATCCTTGGGGGAACGACACCCTCAGGGAATTCCACCAGGAAAGGTGGAATGATTATTATAAATGTCTCAAAACGAGACACTCGACTGCTGGTGATCGAAAGACTCTTTACCCTTCAGCCATAGTAACCATGGAAGGATCCTCCATAATGTAACTACAAAAGTTCATTGCAAATTATAAATTTAAACAAAAAAGTTAAAACTGTCGAGTGGATTTACTGAAACGATAAGTTTTCCAGCAATATCTCGGAATCTAAAAGAGATAGCGACATTTGCCTCAAGACCTTTTTTAAAGATGACACTTAACTCTACAAAAAAGGTCCTGCAGTAAATGCCGGTATCTCCCTCAGATTCAGAGATATTTTAGGAAAACCTGAAATAGTTGACGGATTCATTGCACAGTCGATTTTGTTTCGGGAGTTGAGTTATTATTTCCCATTTCCTGTGGTAAAATAAGTAAATATGTTCTGATGTATATAATAATATGTAATCATCGACTTTTAATCCGATTTTAACTGATGCCTGTGCGGTTTTTGTTTGAAATTCATTGGCTAATTTCAAGTCTGTGAGAACAGGAATACTAATTATTATCCTAATTATTTAAAAACAGACTCCCCTGCGGCATTTGCATTTCCCCAAGTGAATACCACACGATCGAATCGATCGATTGGTTCTACAACAGCACGACAGACACCAATATGACGAGTGTCCCAGTGTCCACTGACGAGCACACGTTAATTTCCCCAAGTGACAGAACCCTCCAAATATTCAATACTGCTCTCGACAAAGAAGGTTTTTACTGGTGCCAATTAGAGGACACAATGTCCAATCCTTACTACGTCCACGTAAGCAATGAAACGGATGCATTGAGAATCGTCCAAGGGGATGAGGCACCCGATGCTCTTCATCCTGAGCCTCCAGTCATCATCGATGAATATGGATTGAGAATTTTTTCGGACTGGAGTGACTGGTCCAGCTGCTCTAAATGCAATATCGTCGGGAGAAAACAGCGATATGGATATTGCAGTATTGAACTCGTGAATTATGGAGGACATCACATCCGCAGGAAGAGGAACAACGGTGAAATATTTAAACATCAGCGTTTAAAAAGAAAATTCATTCCTTAAAAAATTCCTAAAAATTCATAATTAAACATAAAATTTCGATTGAAATAATATAACAATAATAATAAATAACAATAATAATCAATAATTAATAAATAATTTTGATTAATTAAGAGTTCTTTAAGTGACGAATGAAATAAAAACGAAAATGAAAAATGATTAAACGAAAAATTGATAAAATAATTAAATTATCGCAATCATTGATTCGATATTCTAGATGTTAATGAGCCACTGGATTCCGACGCCGATCTCGGGACTGTAATCGAGAAGATTCTCATTTTCTTCGGGAACAAACTCCCCTGCAGGTCGATTTACACTCCCCAGAAGATCCAGGAGCTCGCGCAGATAAAAAATCGAAAGAACGAACTGATGAGAAAATTCTGCAAAATCAAATGCGAGGAGACGGTGATATTTGAGATACGAGACAAGTCGGGGAATGTCATCGAGAGTGCGAACAATAGTGCGGGGATTTATTCAGTGCTCCAGGGTGTGCCTGAGCCGCTGCCATCGGTCCAGCGGGAAACCCTGTACATCAAACACGGGAGTAAAGCGGAATTAAAATGCCCTGGGTGAATAATTAGAGATAACTCGTACGAAACAGACAATTCTCCAATTAATATAATTGATTAATTAGCCATTTCCCCAATTAATTTATTAATTAGCCATTTCCCCAATTAACTTATTAATTCCCCCATTTTTACGAGAATTCTATTTTTACTAGCTTTCGGGGTAATCCTCAATTAAAATTCCTTATCTCCGGTTGATGATTGAAATTAATTTTGTGATGAATTGAGATAATTAGGGATTAATCAGTGACTTGAGGGGAGTGATAAGAGCGATAAGACTGATGAGAGAGCTAAAATGATTTCATTTTTTCAGAAATTTGAATAGTGACACTCCAATGACATGGCAAATAGCTTCAAAATCCATCAATCCATTATCCATAAGTGATGAATCCAATGGGAGAATATCTCTAGATCCCCATGATCGATTGATCTTCAAGAGACTGCGATTCACAGACACAAATATTTACAGTTGCTGGCAGATGGGAAAACTCGCTGGAACGATAAGACTCGAAGTCGCATACGAAGTAGAATTTAAAATCGATCATCGAGTGATGATGATTGGGGCTATTGCAATTCTCTCGACATTTATCGTTGTATTTTTTCGGGCATTCAGGGGCCGAAGGAGATACACCAAGCACTGAATTATTTATTCAAATGAAAATATTTCGATAATAGACTCACCACGCCGCCTCCATCCTTGGCTTTTCTCAGAGACGGTGGCATCATCTCCGGGGTCAGTGCCTGTGGTGGGTCGGAGCCCCGGAGTTTCTGTTTTATCAGCCACATGGCGAGAGCGAATTGCTCCTTGTTCAGTTTTCCGCTCTGGCAGACGTCGCAAAGGCCCCTGAAACGTAATTAATACAAAATTAAATATTAATTACCTTTAATCACTTTATTTTGCACTCCATCTCACGTAAATATCGAATATCCATTCTATTCCTTGAGTTCTGTATTATAAATTCAAACTTTATACATTTTTATTGAATTAAAACTCTGATTAAAAATTCAACTATTTTTATTTCTCGACGTTCTGGCGTTATATTTATATTTCCCCCCGAAAAGCCGATGACCTGACGCGAACAAGGATTTTTTTGTTGGATTGGTTGGAATTGTAAATTTAAAATGATTTTAAATGAGATATTTAATCCGTACCAAATGTGAGCTAAAATGGTCTGGGGTAGTCCACTCTGGAGGAAGACGTCCTTGATCTCACCACCGGACACAAATCCATCCATATCCATGTCAGCCTGCAGGAAGAGTTTATCAGCTGCTGCCTGATCCTCTGGAGTCACCACCCACTGGAGTTGAGGCTGGGGTGACGGTTGTGGTGGTAATTGAGGTGGCATCGGCTGAATCATGAATTTATTCCATAAAAATCGATGATAAATTGTCAGAATAGAATAATTCAACTGCAAAATATCTCTGGGTTTACATTTCCATTTGGATTTTCATTTCAAAAACCTTCAGTTATTAAATGGAGAGAACTAGTGAAAAGCTCATTGAACAAATATATCAATTTCAATTTCCAACGGCAATTCTGGATTTTTTAATATTGTCAGAAGCCGGAGGTCAATCGAAATCCATAGAAAATTCATTCGATACCTGCATAGACTCCAATCCAACTAGATTATTAACAGCAGCTGCTGTTGGTAGAGGTGGAATGGTTGGTGGTACAGGAGATGTTGAATTCATAACGAGAGACTCTTTTCTTTTTCCCGGTGGCATAAGTTCCGGTGGTAATACACTTGGGATCGCGTATTTCTCGAGAGCTTTGTAAACCAGATGCATTGCCTGAATAAAAAATAAAGAGCAACTAGAATTATCAATTCCACCAAATACTCCGTCTTCCACTCATAAAAACAATAACTAAAAATTAATCATATTTTATAAAACAATTATAGAATTATTTCTGTATCAAGACTCGAAATAAATTACAATGTAATTTATTTATTTAGTGGCTCCTGACAGAAATATCTTATCACATTTTCCTGTGAATGATTAGTTCTTTAGAGATAAATAAAATAGTTTATGGACGTACCACGACAAACTCGTGTCTGTCGAGCATTCCATCCTTATCCATATCCGCAAGATCCCATATTTTGCCTAGTGTCTCGAGGGGCAGTTTACTATCCATAAGCACACCCTTAACTTTATTGCCAGGTATGTAACCATTAGCTGGCTGAAGATTATCGAACAATCGATCGTACTTTATCCGCTCAGCTGGTTTAATCGCCCAATCTCCATTATTTATTGAGCTCAAAACAGGTGGTGGTGGTACAGCTGGACTTTTCTTCGTTATCACTGGTATCTCACCCATTTTAGGTGGTGGTACATCGAGATTAACATTGGCGATATTCAACTCGTGTCCAGCCTGGGCAAAGGCACATAATTTCAGGGCAACGAACATGCCAGATTTGTCGAGAGAACCCCGGGCTTGGGGATCAGCCATGTCCCATATTTTGCTGAGGATCACATCACTCAGCTGGGATTTCTTGAGAAACCGTGCCGCCTCCATCGCTCCAATCCTCCCATAACCGTTTGGATCCACCTGATGAATTAATTATCATTAAAAATTAATCACTTGATCCGCTGACATTTGAGTAATTCCATTTTTCAAAATCTCTACACCTAATTCTTTTCACCTAAAAAATGGAAAGTCTCAGAGATTTTGGTTAGGATTTCTAAAAATACTTCACCTGATTGTAATACGCTTCGTAAATGGCGACATGGCTTCCAGCCACCTGAAACAATGAGTATAATTTAAAATAATGTCACGAGTAAAACAATACTGATAAATTCATTATCAGTGGCCTTCTCGGTTTCCGCTGGCTGAGGAGAGTCAACTTGTCAAATAACTCCACAAATAATTCCACAAATAATTTCCAAATGGATAATCAATAAATTCAGGGATTGAGTGGCAAATAGTGAGCGAGTACTTGCTCATGTCATTGTCAGGGTGAATGGGATATTTTAATTGGGAAAATAAAATAATTAATATACCTGCGTCGGTGACGGCAGGGCAGCCATACTTGCATGGACTACTGGCTTAACCAATCGGACGTTTAAATCGATAGTACTAGTAGTTGTTTCTCAAAATTTTCTGCCACATTTCTTGACAGCACCAACAGCTGACAATTATCACCACTGGATGACTGTTTCTCAGGGATTCCTCTGTTGTTTCTGGGGATGAATGAATTATTTATTTTTTCTCTTGCAGGAGACACCTCACATATGCCGATATATAGTCGAGCAGCACTTGAACGTTTTTATTGGTCGTACTTGCATTTGACGGGTTTATCAATCCACCCGACACATCAATGCCTCAACAATATGTCGAGATAATGATTTTATTGATAAATTCGAATTGACAAGACGAGTGTTGAGTGATGAGAATGAATCACCAATGAATTGATGATTTTTTTTTTAGATTTATTTGCGAAATCAGTGGGTAATTATGAGGGGAGGGTTTTGTACTTTTGTTGGCCTGAGAAAATAATTGAAAATAAATTCTACGGAATCACTTTTTAATGGGTATTTCCACACGATTATGCCCTCGGGAATTTTAATTGTCAACTCACGACGTTGGCCATTGGCCGTTACAACTTCGCGTTTTCTTTTCCTTTTTTTTGCGAGTACTTGGTACTTGCGATTTACCGTTTGCGTCGTCGATTGTCGTTTGGGATTTTTCGGTTGTGTGAGTGAATTTTACGCATGTGGTCGACGTTTTTTCGGTCTCATACACCAAAGAGGATTGGATAAAGGAGAGATTCAGTTCTGGGGGTTGGAGTGACACCAGCGGCATCGTAGTATTGCACCCTGAGGAAGGGAGGGCGCCACATGCAATGGGGGTGTCATTACGTCAGCGGGCAATTGCTCCACTGAGTTCTGCCAATTTCAAATAAGGCCCTGAGGGCCCTGAGGCTACTGCCGATTTCCACAAAGGCTCAGGTGGAACCAGT